GTCTCCCCTGAGCCTCCTTTTCTCCAGGCTAAACAAGCCCAGCTCCCTCAGCCGCTCCTCATAGGACTTGTGCTCCAGACCCTTCACCAGCTTTGTTTTCCTTCTTTGGACATGCTCCAGCACCTCGATGTCCTTCTTGCAGTGAGGGGCCCAAAACTGAACACAGTACTCGAGGTGCAGACTCACCAGTGCCGAGTACAGGGGCACTATCACCTCCCTGGTCCTGCTGGCCACACTATTCCTGATACAAGCCAGGATGCTATTGGCCTTCTTGGCCACCTGAGCACACTGCTGGCTCATGTTCAGCCGGCTGTTGACCAGCACCCCCAGGTCCTCTTCTGTCAGGCAGCTCTCCAGCCACTCCTCCCCAAGCCTGTAGCATTGCATGGGGTTGTTGTGACCCAAGTGCAGGACCCGGCACTGAGCCTTGTTGAATCTCATACAGTTGGCCTCAGCCCATCGATCCAGCCTGTCCAGACCCCTCTGTAGGGCCTTCCTACCCTCCAGCAGATCAACGCTCCCACCCAGCTTGGTGTCATCTGCAAACTTACTGAGGGTGCACTCGATCCCCTCGTCCAGATTGTTGATAAAGATATTAAACAGAACTGGCCCCAATACTGAGCCCTGGGGAACACCAGTCGTGACCGATTGCCAACTGGATTTAACTCCATTCACCACAACTCTTTGGGCAGTCCACTTCAGCACTGCTCATCCACCCCACCATGGCTGTCCTCCTGGTCCTGCCTTGGGACTCCCAAGGGCTGGGGATGAACCTGGTGGTCCCCATCCCTTGTTCCCAGTCCCAAAGCAAGCAACCAAGTGGCCCTGCTATAGCCCCTTGTTGGGGGGGCTTCAAGGGCTTGCCCACACACAACGGGGTCAGCCTGGCTGGGGGACATGGCACCTTGTCACTGAGGTGACAGTGAACGTGACACTCCGGCAAGGAGTGCTGGGGTGTCTCCCCGAGCTGGAGGAACTCTCAGACCCTGTGCTAGTGGCTTGACGTGTTCCTTCTCGATGCCCTGCAGCCACCCCATCACAGCCCTGCTACTCCCAGGCTGCTCCCCCCAGCATGGGGCTGGTGGAGCAGGGATGCAGGGGTGTCTTGACCACTGCCATTTGCTGCCAGGGGGAGGTGGGCCAGTCCAAGCTCCTGCCCTCCGCCTCCCTGGAGGCTGCCAAGAAGGACTTTGAGAAGAAGTTTCGGGAGAAGACCAAGAACAGCTGGGCAGCACGGGAGAACTTCGTGGCCCAGCCAGGGAAGTATACGCTCATCGAGGTGCAGACAGGGGCCGGGCAGGAGGTGGAGGTTGCCCTCAGGGTGAGTGTGCTGGGCAGCTGGGGTGTCACCGCAGTGGGGTGGTCCTCACATCTCACCCCTGGCCCACGGGGCACCAGGGCATCCAAGTGGGTCAGCAGGATGGGGTGGGTTTTGGGAGGGGTCTGGCTGAGCGCTGAAACAGCCCATGGGCAGAGATTTGGGGCTAATGGGTTGAGATGGAGTGGGAGGGCATCCCAAGCGAGATTCATGGGCATCTGGGTGGCATCGGTCATGGAAAGTGGAGGCAGACCCTGCCCGTCACTCTGCTGCCCAGGGTCCAGGCTCTCCCCACTGAGATGGGCAGTCCCGGTGCTGTGCCCCCGCAGCCTCCCCTGGTCTCACAGGCAGTGCGGTGATGTTGGGGGTCTGCAGGTGGATCATGCGGATGGGGACAAGGTCTGCAAGCAGCGGGTGTTGCCCTGCACCTTGGACAAAGCCACGCAGGAGCTGGTGTCCCTCATCTTCAGCAGCGACATGTTCCGGGATGCCATGCAGACCATGAATATTGGTAGGAGGTGATGGGTGGCATGGGGTAGGTCTGGGGGCTGCAGCTGTGGGGTGCAGGTGGGGAGGTGAATGGGGCAGAGGTGCCAGTGGATTTTAGAGCATCCTCGCTGGCAGCCCGGCACCTCGTGGGACTATGGACCCCTCATGCTGGGTGCTTGCGTGTGCCTGTCGTGGTGCTGGAGGTTATTGGAAGTAGCTGTGGGGCAAGTGGGGTGGATGGGTTCACCCGCGCCCTCCCCTGTCCCCCTGGCCAGACGTGAAGAAGATGCCGCTGGGGAGGCTGAGCAAGCAGCAGATCTCAAAGGGCTTCGAGGCGCTGGAGGAGCTGGAGGCGGCGCTGCAGGAGAAGCCTCCCCAGGCCGCCCGCCTGGAGGACCTCTCCTCCCGCTTCTACACCATCATCCCCCATAACTTTGGGCGGGCACAGCCACCCCCCATCAACTCCCCTGACCTGCTGCGTGCCAAGAAGGACATGCTGTTGGTGAGATGCCGGGGCACCCAGCGGGTGGCATCCCTCCCCAAGGAGGGCTCCTGCCCATGGGGCAGGGAGGTGCTGGCAAGAGGCTGGGCTTGCCCCAGTCCCCCCGGCACAGTGCCCAGCACTGGTGGTGAGGACGTCCCTGGTTTGTGCTTGCCAGGTGCTGGCGGACATCGAGGTGGCACAGAGCCTGCAGGCGCAGAAGGTGAAGGAGGAGGAGGAGGAGGAGAAGGAAGTCGTCCATCCGCTGGATCAGGATTACACCCTGCTCTGCTGCCAGCTCTCCCTGCTGGACCCAGCTTCCCGGGAATACCAGGTGCCGCTTGTGACACGGTGCCCCAAGAATGGGAGCAACCGTACCAGAGCTGCGGGCACCCCAAAGGTCCCCACTGTCCCGGGGGGACTGTGGGCATTGCTGGGATGGCTGCCTGTGGTGACACCGCTTTTCTGCCTCCCTCCCTGGCAGCTGATCCAAAACTACATAACACAGACTGGGCACAAACTCCGCATCCTCAACATCTGGCAGGTGGCCCGAGATGGTGAGGTGAGAATAAAGAGATGCTTATCCCCGTCCCACAGCGAGGAAACCCTGGTTGCACCCCAGGATGGAGCTGTGTCTGCATTAGGGCTCCAGGCATCTCCACCCAGGGGCGATGAGCCCAGCTGGCCAGGGGCAAACAAGCACCTGCTCCCCTGCCCCTCCAGCCTAGCACTGGGGTTGGGCTGGGGGGGCTGGGTGGCAGTCCCCCACCCCCGGGCACCCATGTCTCCCTCTGTGGGCAGCCCTTAGCCCTGCATCTCTCCAGGATGAGCGCTTCAAAGCCCACGACCTCCTGGAGCACCGTCGCCTGCTTTGGCATGGCACCAACGTGGCGGTAGTTGCGGCCATCCTGAAGAGCGGGCTGCGCATCATGCCCCACTCAGGCGGGCGCGTGGGCAAGGGCATCTACTTTGCCTCTGAGAACAGCAAGTCAGCTGGCTACGGTGAGGGTCCTGGGCCCACAGAATTTGTGGGAGCCCAGCTGCCTTCTCATACCCCCTGCCAGGCGGCTGCTGGGCATGCCGAGCCCCTTCCCTGTCTGCTGTGGCAGACAGTTCCTGCATGCTGGGATGGTCTGGGCACAACCAGATGCGAATGCCAGGGCTGGTGCCATCATCCCATACCCTTCTCCCATGGCAGTGGGCTGCACATCCAAGAAAATTGGCATCATGTTCCTGGCAGAGGTGGCCCTGGGCAAGCCCTACCGCATCACCTGCGATGACCCCACGCTGTGTCAGCCGCCCGCTGGCTATGACAGTGTCCTGGCCTGTGGCCGGACGGAGCCGGGTGAGCTGGGGGCAGGAGGGGGTGTGGGGTCTGTGGGCCTGGGATGGACATGGGGTGGGGGGGAGAGAGGCCAGATCTCAGGCTTGATGTGGTGGTGGTGGGTGTCTTCTTGCCCAGACCCTGCACAGGATGAGGAGGTGCTACTGGACAACAAGAAGGTGCTGGTGTGCCAGGGCAAGCCCATCCCCATGCCCGCCTACAAGGACTCCTTCTTCAGCCAGAGCGAGTATCTCATCTACCAGGAAAGCCAGTGCCGGATCCGCTACCTTGTCCAGCTCCACTTCTGAGTGTGTCCGGGCAACCTGCGGCCCTGTCCCACCACCAGCTGGTGATGCCCACCAGCCCAGAGCACAGTGGTCTGGGGTCTCCGGCCAGCCCACCTGGGGCTTGGCAAGGGACAGGCTGGTGTGGGGACAGAGCCCGCTTTGACCGTGAATAAAAACACCGTGCCTTGTACCAAGTGGTGCTGGTGCTTTCCCTCCTGGCGAGGTGGGTGCAAGGGAAGGGTGGTGGTGGGTCCCTGCAGAGATGGTGGTGGGTGGCTCTGGAGGGGCTGCAGCCTGTTGTGGCCATCCCGTGCTGGCAGCATTCAGGTGAAAGCTGGTGGCTTTGCGAGCCAGGTGCCCTCGTCACCTTAGCAAAGCACATGGCTCGTGCCCATCACTGTGGCGTCAGAGCTACAGAGGACAAGCAAGATGTGCTGCCCTGCCTTGGGCATGGAGGACCCCATCCATCCATCTGGAGCGCCTGCCCTCCCTCTGGTGCCATGCTTCGTGCAGTGCCTGCTGCCCTGCCCCGCCCCAGCCTGGCGCCCGTGCCAAGCCCCTCTCCGTGCTCACGTGTGCCCCCCAAGCACTTGTTGGGGCCCCTGAGGTGCTGAGGAAGGGCAACTCCCGGCTGCGTTACCCCGATGCCCCATGGATGCTCCAGAGCATCTGTGTGCCGGTGCGGAGGAGATGCCGCACACCTGCCTGTAGGTCTGTCCCCCGAGCCCTGGGGACCTCAGTGCTGAGCTGTCCTTGCAGAAGGACCAGGCCTGGCACAACAGGTGGCCATGCTGGGGGGGCACAGGACTCGGGGAGCCCAGTCCCCCCTTCCCGAGCCCTCGCTGGCTGCTAGGACCCAGCAGCTGTCCCCGTGGGACCGACACGAGTGCAGGCAGTGCAGGCAGCACCCGGGAGTGACAGCTGGTGCCATCCGCAGCTGGCGGGCTGCAGGCAAACAGGATGACGAGCGGGTGACGGGGCGCGGGGAAGGGGGAGTGTGGCCCTGCGTGGGGGCCGGCAGCCCCCGTTCTGCTGTGGGAGCGACGCCGGCGAGAAGGACCTCCGGCGAGGAGGGGAGCGTCACCCACCTCCCCAGGAGCAAAGGTGCGCTGCGTCCCTCCCACCCACCCGGGGGTGCCCCGTGGCTGGAGCAAGGAGCAGGGATGGGGCAGGCGGGTCCGTGCTGTCCCTCCTCAGGGCGAGGTGGTGCAGCTGGGGCAGGGGGATGGGGTGTCAGCCTGGCACGGGTGCTCGCAGGTCCTGGCAGTGCTGTCCCAGGCCAGGTTGGGGACAGATCGGGCGCCAGCCCTGGGCTAGGCAGGGTGCCGTGACCTCACCAGGCACCTCTCCCTGCGCCAGCGTCTCGGGGGGGTTCAGGTCGTCTCCAGGTTTCTCTGTGGCTTTTCCTCATTTTGGTCCTTCTCCTTCACGCCCTGCTCCCCTCCCCAACAGGCAAGGAGAAGACAGTGGCCATGGTTGTGGTGGGGTTTCCCTCTAAGGGACGCAGGAGAAGAGCCCTCACTGCCCAGGCACCGGAGCTGCTGGCTTAGCCCTCGGGGGGATGGCGAGCCGAACGGGGCTGAACACCACGGACAGCCTAGAGCCCCTCTCTGTCCCCGAGCAGTCCATCGCCCAGGAGGTGGTGGGCCTCCTCTGCATGGTCCTCCTCACCCTCACCGCTCTGGTGGCCAACACCGTGGTCATGGTCGTCATTCTCAAAACCCCCCTTCTCAGGAAGTTCATCTTTGTCTGCCACCTCTGTGTGGTCGACCTCCTCTCTGCCGTTTTCCTCATGCCCCTGGGGATCATCTCCAGCTCCTCCTGCTTCAACAGAGTGATCTACAGCATTGCCGAATGCCAGGCCTTGATATTCCTGAATGTCTGCTTCATCAGTGCTTCCATCCTCACCATCTCCATCATCAGCGTGGAGCGATACTACTACATTGTCCACCCCATGAGGTATGAGGTCAAGATGACCATCAGGCTGGCAGTGGCTGGAGTGATCTTCATTTGGGTCAAGTCTGTTCTCATCACTGTCTTGGCACTGGTGGGCTGGCCTCAAGGCAATGGGGCCACCAGCGCCAGCCGCTGCACAGTCTACTGGAGCCCTGGGGCCCACAAGAAGGCTTTTGTGATCATCTTCAGCATCATCTGCTTCGTCCTGCCCACCTTCATCATCTTTGCTGTCTACTGCAGTGTCTACCGCGTGGCCCGGATGGCATCCCTGCAGCATGTGCCTGTGCCGGCACAGGCAGCTGCGCCGAGACACCGATCTGACTCCCTTGCCAGCCAAGTGACCATCATCACCACCAGAAACCTGCCGCTGCCCAGGCTGATGCCAGAGCGCTTTTTGGGAAGCAACAAGGCCATACTCACCTTGGTCCTCATTGTGGGACAGTTCTTGTGCTGCTGGCTGCCCTTCTTCGCTTTCCATTTGCACTCCTCTGTCGCTGCTGGCATGGCAGGTGGCGGGCACGGGGAGATGGTGGTCACCTGGATTGCCTACTCCTCCTTCGCCATCAATCCCTTCTCTCACGGGCGGCTGAAACGCCA